TTCTGCCAGTAGGTGACGACATTTACTAAACTGTCCACTTCTTGTCGACGGATTCAACCACTGATTCATTCTGGAACTGAACACAAGTTTGCAGACAGACACTTTGTTGTTGTAAGTTTATTTAATATTGATATTTTATATTTCAAACTGATGTACAAAGATAATTTCACATTTAATGACAGCTGTGGTGGTATTTTAGCACTCGAATGCTCGTGTGATATTGTTTAACTGCAAGGAGGCCTATAACAGCTGGTCCAGACATGTTCAGACTTGCCCTTTGCGATTTGTAAATGTATCGCCCGTTTACCCAATAACTTACTTTGATCGTTAGTTTATGAGACTGCAATGTTATTTTGAATTTTTAAGGACAGAATGTGCAAACTTTGACAGGTAAAGTCCGAGTGTTTGAAACATATATATAAAACTTGAAAAAAAAAAACACGTTTGGTAATAATTAGTTTTGACTAAAATGAATTTGGCTACTCAAGAAATATTTCTGCTTAATAAACTGGGGAATGTATGAAGTTCGTTAAGTAACATTAAAGTATTTTATTATATAGAGAGTAAATAAGTGATAGTATACATTAAATAAGTGATAGGCCTATATCATGTTAGAAAACACTGAAATATTTCCCCCCTACAGACTCTTTCCCCCCAAACACCCCCACGACTCCTCATAACATAAACAATGCATTGTTGTATTAAATATTTGCAATTAAAATTGCACATATTCATCGCACTACGTTGCACTAATTCATCTTGAATTATACATATACTCTACACATACATTTGTAATTATGTTTATATCTATCTGCATACATTAATAGCAACCTGAACATATATTCATGTATTGAAAATCTCTGTTTATAGTCAATACAACTTGTATATAATGTTCATAGTACATCCATCTGTAAATATCACCATATATTTTCTATAATTGCACTTTATAACTTATACCTATATCCTGCACTTGCTGCTATTGCGCTTCTGGTTTGACCTAAACTGCATTTTGTTGCCTTGTTCTTGCACAGTGCTCTCAGCATAGTACACCCCTAACAAAGCTATCTTTTAAATTCATATTTATAATAGGAAGCTTTACAATATTTGTGCATATACATCAGATTAGTCAGTACTAAAGCCAAATCTGGAGCTCATCTAATGAAATAACTTACGATAACGGTCTAAATCTAGTACACTCAAACTTATATGTTATAGAAAAGTATTTAACACAAATTTAAAAAAGAGGAAAAATCAAGAGAAGCAAAAAAATTGAAAAAATTTGTTGAAGTTTTGTAGGTTGTATTTTTTTTTCAATATTTAGCAATATTTAAATCTTTCAATTTCTAAATCTGTTTGGTGACTAAAATATTATGTTAATAAATAGATCTGTTTAATAAATCTGTTTTGTTTAAAAGCACTAAAATACATTGTCCATATTCACTTAGAAATGGCTAAAAATATTCATTATTCTGAGCTGTGTTACCCCTACGTTTACAGTTTTTTTTACCTTTATTTATATTTCTTATTTTTTCACAAAGTGTGCAGCTTTTGTCACTGCAGTGTATCTTAATGGATCTCTGGAAGAACATTTTAAGTACACTACTAGTAAATTGATATTAGTATGCGTAAGCTAAAACAAAAAGCTGTTTACTCGCATGCGCCTGTCAGAATCGGCAAGCTAGCGCAAAAGCTCCATTGAAAATACTGGAGTAAAATACATGTTCATATTTTAAAGACATGGCGGGGAAAAATTTAATTTAATGGAGTGCTTCTTGTACAATCTGAGCCCAACTTTTTATCGGATATCACTCAGCCAATGGAGATCACTCATTTTTAAAGAAAACAGACCTTAAATGCACAGTTGTGCATTTGTAATGGCATACAGTTCACCGGAAGCGCTTAACCCAGGTTACTGGCAAATTTTTCGTCATATACCCTATTGATCTATGACATGCACAGTTTCTAGCACTAATGGTATGTTGTAGCGAGGATGTAAACAATGGGAAATGCTGTTTGGCACCGTTAACAAAAAAGCTACAAATTCACCAGTCAAACTGCTGTTAACGCCCACAATCTTCAGCAGCGCTGCAGTGTCTCTTTATGCAGCCAATTTCCCTGTGTTCCACATCTCATATAACAAACTTGCGAAAGATATGTGAACAATTCATATAACTTAAGCATGCTTATTCTGATTACATATGTAATACACTTGTCAGATTTAGTTTTAGAGCGCAGGCTTGAGGTTCAGCTGTGTCCTCTTCATTTATGTCTAATACAGGATCACACTGACTGGCAGTATTTACACAGCAAAGGCACAGCACTTGCTATTAGAGGCGTGACTGGACGTGATGCTTCCTGGCTGATCTGCGAATCACAGCACATTATGTTAGCTGACCAATCAGAGCCTCTTTATAGAAGGTTTCCGGAGGAACTAGGAAATATGACAGTCGTTTTCATATTAGCTGAGTAGCAGTAGATATTTAAAGTATTTTCTACAAAGTAAAGCATAAGCACACATTGCTTTGCATATTATAAACAGTGTTGGGAGTAATGCGTTACAAAAGTAATGTATTACAGTAATGTATTACATTTTCCTGTAACGCAGTAGTGTAAGGCATTACTAATACATTTTCAGTAATATTTTACTCGGTACATGTTCAGTAACGCGTGCGTTACAACACACTTTTCGCCCGCAAGACATTAACAAATAAAAAAATACCGCAGTTCTATTTCCTGTTCGTGGCTTGAGAATATATGCGTGTGCTGTCATTAATCTCCTTCTGGCTATGGGACCTTTTTACTTTGAACGCGGAATGATTTCAGCTTCTGAGCTCAAGGTCCGGGGCTATTGGCTCAGCCCGGTTCGCAGTACGCACAGCGGAAAATAGATGAAAATGGCATAAGACAGTGCATTCGCGAGACGGACGTAAGTGCATATGGCGTTATTTCACTGACAAATGTCGTAAGCTCATTCATGTTATACGAGCGAGTGAACGTGCCAGTTTCCTCTGTGGACAAAACTCCTCGCGTTAACTCAACACTGGCTGGGCTGCTCACGTGCTAACGACCTGCTCTCGCTCCGGCAGATGATGCAGACTCACAATCTATGCCATGTGTTTCCTCTTCCCTTCGTTCTGTTGCTCTCCAGAGATCCTCCTATTTAATTGTTATCCCAAGAATTTTTATATGGTTTATATATTGCTACACTATTTACTTACAGGTTAAGATAAATTCTATAATAAATACTAGTGTTTTTGAGTGTAAGGTATACTGCCTATGTTTTAGGCTAGCATTTACAATGAATGCTTAACCATACTGTCTTATTAAGAATAGTGAACTCATAAAATTAAATATAAAGTGTAGTTTTACTACAGTAAAGTGTGGTGAATTGTAGTACAATCTACCCCATATTGTAAAAAAAACTACAGCACTGGATCATTGTTTATATTACACTTGTTGTGTTACCATAGCAACTATAGTATTACCACAACAGAGTAATTAAAGTACTTAATGACAATATGTGTGTTCAGGGGCCCGGTGGAACAGCTTCTTCTCAAAATGAAGATGATGGCAGGGAAAATGTCCTCCACAATCTCCTCAACAATGTGGAAGACAACAGACACTAGTTCACTTTATTTTAGTTGCCATAAAAAATGTGATTGATAATGAGATTTATTTGAAGAGTGAATAGTACAGTAGGCTATAATACCTTATCAAGTGTTTCTATTAGTTACATTTCTGCTTGCGTTAGTTTTTATTTTTGGCTAAATGCTTTTTTTATTTAAAATATCTCATCATATAACATACAGCCAACAATGTTAGGGTTTATTAGATTAAAAATTATAAGTCTATTTTAGTATTTTGGTTATTGTTAATAAATAGTTTACTAATATAATTCATATCAAAAAGCTTGAAAGGAAGAGGGAACAAAAGACACGAATTGTGAGTCTGCATATAATCTCACTGAGAGAGCAGTGTACTGAGAGCAAGAAAACTTGTGCGTGAGCAGTGCATATTTGAGAGATTGTGAGAATTTGTGCGCGAGCAGCGTATGTGAGAGCTCGCAAGCAGTTTTGTCCACAAACAGGAAATCGATGCACAAACATTATACTGAGAAAGATGTTCATCATGCTCACTTTGTGCAGGACGGTTTTGTGTTGTGAACCACTTGAATGTAAAGTAAATACAATAATGGCAACAATAAGAAAAGGAACAAAATCTGCATTTTGTCATGGCATTGGAGTTTACATATCGGCCTGTTGTGTCTAATGTGAATATAGCCAAGCCATTCATAGATATTGCCAGATAATCACTTTACCTCTACCATACTTTTAACAGATCATTTGTAATTCTGGCTGTCATCCTTTCTTGCATTGTCTTAAGCCATCACATTGCCAATTATATACTATATTGTTAGTAGCCTGGAGAGGTTACAGTCATTCTGCTACCTCAAATCACGTTCTACTGGATGTAAAATGCTCATTAAAGAACATTATAGAATTTTATAATGTTAAGTTTTAATTCTGTAGTTATTTTGGTGAAAGTAACTAAAAAGTAATATAAGAGTAATGTAACATATTACAATTCTAAGACAGTAATATTGTAAGGTAAGGGATTACATTTAAATAACAGTAATAAGTAATCTGTAATGTATTACAGTTTGGAAGTAACTTGCACAACACTGATTATAAACACAACCAAGCTGTATAAATACACTCTGGACCAGCTCTTTAAACACAATTTGGTAAATATAAAATCATTTTTACTTCAGCTGTATATATAATGGCCTGCTTATAACCAAATACATAAGAATAGCAAAACAGTATAACAATGTACTAAATAACTCTGAAAGTGCAATCAACAGTATCCTGAATTTGTAACCGTTTTAAAACTGTTTGACAGGAAGTTTTCCTTTTCCCTCTTTTTCTCTCCGTTACTTTCCCTCCCTTTTCCAGTCTGTCCCTCCCTCCCATCTCTTACTCTCTGATTCCAGGACAGAAGCTTGATGACGCAGCAGTGCAGAGGCCTGTGGCTGAACGATTGCTGGGCAGAGAGAATAACAGAGAGACGCTGCTTTGGCCTGACTTGACACTCAAACACGCACACACACACACACACACACAGCGGCACAGAGGAAATACTGCCGAGAGAGAGAGAGAGAGAGCAGCTGATCTGGCCCCGAAGGAGAAACACCACTGCTATCCTTCGCTCTCCTCTCAACCATGGCAGAACAAACTGATCTCACCTTGGGCCAGACTGTTTACATCTACAGCTGCTCAAATATGGAGGAATAGATCAGGTATATATCAGCCTGTCTCACTCGAAACTCTCTCTTTCGCTGTTTTACTCACTCTACTAACACGCAGAGAGACTGTGAACCCATTAATGCTGACTAAAAAGGAGCTAAACTGCACACCGAGGCTTCCGCTGAGGGACTAGCGAGATGAGTGTGTGTGTGTGTTTGTGTGCACAAGCCTTGTTTTGAGTATTTTCTGTGGGAATCCATCCAGATGGATGTACCAGAGAGCGTTTCTCTTGATTACGTTCCAGAAAAAGGTGGGCCTTGCTGTCCTGGTGACGACATAAGCTTTAGAAACTAACATAAACTTTTAATTTATCTACTATGACATTGTTGTTATTAATAAAACTGTAACATTGTATTGTGAAGTGAAAGATAATAATAATAACATATAACAAATTTGCAGGACTGTCTGACTCATTGAGTGATTCTTCATGATGACCACCAGGGGGCACAGTGGAGTCGTTCCTCCCTCAGACGCACATTTAATCGCACGAACAGGGACCAGAGGAAAGACGATCTCGATTATGAGGAGCGGTATGAGCAAACGTAAGGTTGGTAAAGAGATTTCAGTCTTACTGAGATGGTCATTTCAAGAGTTACAGTCCCTAGATAGCAGGAAATGTAAAGATGTAGCCTTGCCTTTGCTCCAGCAAGGTGATACTTTAATTCTTGTGGTTATACGTAGGTGATATTCATGTTTAATTTAATTTGTTTGTCTTTGGTGTATTTATCTGAAGAGCTCGCTGCTAGAATTTGGTTACACAAGAGGGAGAGTTTCCATCCATAATTCATTACGAAACATGCCGACCCACTTATTGACCTGGTCCTCATCTCGATCGCCATAGTAATTTGTAATACCCTTTAGTTTGTTTCTTTCACTATTTTATGATGCACTTCAGGCTATGTTGACCTTGAGTGGAGGATTCATGTGATGAGCTCATTTGCATCAGGCTTTACTGTAGGCCTTACTTTTGATAGGCCTCAGATGTGTTAGCAGCTTTGATGCTCTCGTAGCTCAGCCTACACATATTACTTTGTGACAGAACAAAAGTACTTCAGCTTTGCTTTGCCTGTCTGTTTACCGTTCACTGCATTTTTTGTTATGACTCAGTGATCATGACTGTGCACAGCGAAACTCCTCACAACCCGGGGTTGTTTAGAAGCTGCGTACATTGCAGTTCATTTCTTTCCGAGGAAATGAACAGCTACACCTTAACAGTTTCAGACCTTTAGAGATAAGCTGGTAGCAGGAAGTGCTTTAAACTAAAATAGAAATGTTCTCTTTCATGGTAAATCCAAATTACTCTCATGCAAATACGCTTAGAATATGCAGGAAATGTGGAACTATATAAATCTGTGTATAATATTTTCAACTTTTTTTTGTTTAAAGTATAAATGAAATTAAAACTAGCCTTATGATTTTGTTAGCTCACATCGCTAGTTTTGTGGTGAACAATTAATTTGTGCTCGTCATAAAAAAGGTTTGCCCTTGTAATCTAAAATTAAAATCTGAAAATGCACTTTGCTAGTTTGTTTTCAGTTAAATTCTCAGATTACGTATGTCTGAGTTATTGGGCGTGGCTAACATACCTAACCACGCCCCTTTAACTGTCAGTTTTGACAACAAGCAGAAATGGTGAGGAGGAGGTGTCTGTTACGTTGTTATAACTCTCCTGAAAACTTTTCCCTCATATTTCCGAATAAAATTCCTACTTTATTACATCTAATCAGCTTGCGGTGGAAAAAACAAGCCACGCCCACTGTTTTCTTATTTAACATTTCATTTCTTAATTAATATAAAATGCCTAAAAAGTATAATGTGTATGTGTTGGGAGTAAAAAAAGGAATCTATTTTAAGATTTACGAATAAGAATGAAAGATATGCTATTGCAATGAATTTATTTAAACATTTTAATAAAAGACAGTAAAATGTATTCTAGTGTTTTTGGGTGCTTTCACACTAGTACCTTTGGTCCGCACCTGGGTTCGTTTGACATCAGAGTTGGGTAGGATCAGCTAGTGTGAACGCTGTCTTCTGAACTTGTGTGAGCACCCATGAACCATACCCAAATCCGCCTGAAAGAGGTGGTCTGGGGTACAGTTCAAGCAAACTCTGGTCCAGTTTGGTTCTGGTATGAATGCAATCATACTAAATAACGACAGTGAACCGCCAACTGTACAACAATCTTTAGTTTTTATAACTATTATTTGTGTGTGTGGGTGTCTGTGCATCACCTATTGTTCCTTGGTGACAAGCGGGACTGAGCCAGGCCAAACACAGTGATAATGTCTGCTTGTCTCCTCCAAAAACAGGTTTTGCAGACACTGTGTTATGTTCTGAGCGTTTAGAATATTTTTGTGGCAGACAGACGCGAGTCGCTTTTTGTATTTCTAAAACCAAAAGATTCTTTAAAAGCAGGAGTGCGGACGTCTTTCCATTTTGGCGCTTTGCTTTCGTGACTGTCAACAAGCTACAGCCATACACACAATAGCAGCTCGATGACACAAGCGTACCAGGTTCAGAAGGAAAAAGACAGTATGAACACAAACTAACTGAGAAGGTGGCAAGGGGGGACAATCGAATTTGGGTACAATCCAGGCAAACCAAGTGTGAAAGCACCCTCAATTACATACCGCATCTTGCTGTGCTTGAGTTTAAGTTATAAAATGTAGGTTTAGAATTGACACTTTGATTAACTTGTAGCCAATGGTAATTAATCTCTAAAGCAGTGGTCCCTAACCGTTTTATCAATATGGACAGCTTGACAATTTTACCGTGGACCAGGGGAGGTGGAGGTGGTTCGTAGGTTGCTAGGCAACCAACAACTGTTTTCTCAGTGGATGACAAGCTGACAAAACACTGCTTCAACTCTGATACAAGTTTTATTACTGAAGAAAATTATTTCTGAAGAAAATTACAAAGCACTGCAGTGTTTGGGTGTTCTGTGTTCACCTTAAATAATTAGTCTACTGATATGTGTATATCAAAGTATGAAGCTTATCGCGTGCGCTCGCGGCATTCATTCAACTGGACTCATTCATTCAACTGCACGTCACGCCACTTGCGCGTGCAAGCACCACACCTCCACTGGAAGTAACAAACTTTCACAAACTCTAGAAAAGACGCCATATGCGAACGGCCCCTAGAAGGTCTTGGACAGACCTGATTGTTAACAAATGGGTTGCGGATCCATTCCTTGGCAGTTCGTGGGTCCTTCGCTGGGCATTTTCCCCTTAGCAAAGAAACTTTCCAAAGATGTCTGTTTCTTACTAATTTTGTTGCTTGTGGGTTAAATTTGGGAGCTCAAGTGACCGAGATGTAAGCAAGAGAATACAGTCATTTTTTAAAAATAAAATATTGTTTAGACTCAGATAATAAATAAAACGGAAATTATTAATGATTTCTTGTGCGGCCCAGTTCCAACTGATCCACCGGTACTGGTCTGCAACCCAGTGGTTGAGGACCACTGCTCTGTATGCAAATGTATTTGATATTGCTTTTTAGAATAAAGGGATAGTTTACCCAAAAATGCCCAAAATTCTCTCTGTAAAAAATTCTGTCATCATTTACTTACCCTTCCCCCTTCACTATACTGGGGCATAAGGACTAACACAGACTGCAGGGTGAGCACCCCCTGTTGGTCTCACTAACAATACTTAAAAACCGCAATCTAATTTTTCCCATGTTGTCCTCCATCCTGGTACTAACCAAACTGAGCTCTGCTTAGCTTAAATCTCAGGCAACAACTAGTCTTTGGACCGTGATATGGCTGATAGAATATGTGTATAGTGCATTGTTTAAGACAAACTCTAAACAAACTCTAAACATTTTAGTGACTGTAGGATTTATGTATAAAATTTCTTCAGACACTGTAATATAATCAAGTTATGACAACAAGTTTTTAAGTTACTTTACCTGATTTTATTATGTTAATAAGGTTAACTTGCTGTTTTAAGTCAAATTGAGTTTTAAGTTCGATGTAAGTTGATAGGACTTGTAAAGTTAAAAAGATTTAACTTAAAGTTGTGTGTGAAATCTAAATTTACAATGTTTATTTTGCTTGTTATTCTTTACGTAAAAAAATTATTTGTGAAAGTTAATCTTCTAAAAAAAAAGTTTGTTTTGGTGATATTTAATCAATGCAAATCTGATAACGTCAGTTTAATGGCTTCAGCCACAATATTCTTAACCACGCCCCTCTTACTGCTTCTATCAGGGAATGATGCACAGACAGAAAGCCCCGCCCCCAACTCAATGTTCAGTTTTAGTACATCAACATACTAATATATTAGTATCAGCAACATATTGTTTACCCAGACATCACAAATTTAAGACAGCAGCTTATTTACAGTGTAAAAGGGCAATTAAATGATAAAAAAATAATTTGATATTCCTATCTGTGTATAAGCTAACGATCGGGAGAAGGTAAGGAGAGATATGTGTTCAAGCTAGTCTCTGGTTTTTATTTCACCATCAGTGGTTCGCTTAAAAAACAACCTGGGATCTGAATGCAAGCCAGAACCCTTGTGAATGCTGTCTTTGTTACAGCAGCTTGTCTTCATGGCACCCAGGTAATCAGCACTCGGCCCTGTTTCCAGAAATAACCACTGGTATCTGGGCATTAAGTTCACATTCTGCACTGCGAGCTGAAGGAGGCGGCCTTCTTCAAGCTTTAAAGAGATACTTCATCCACTTTAAAAGCAGGTCTGGTGGGTACATTCGCTCACATGTAAACAAGAGCGAGCTTTGTTGACTGAAAATAAATGACTTCTACGGATGCTGTCCACTTCTGGTTAAATATAAGGTTTCATTTAAGAACCATTTACACAACATCATTTTCAACTGAAAACTTGACAGTTCATTTACATGACAATACCAATTTTGGAAGGCAGCACTGTGACGTAATAGATAGCACAATCGCCTCACAGCAAGAAGGTCGCTGGTTCGAGCCCCAGCTGGGTCAGTTGGCATCTCTGTGTGGAGTGTGTGCTTATTCTCTCCCCGGTTCCCCCCACAGTCCAAAGACATGCACTATAGGTGAATTGAATAAGCTAAATTGGCTGCAGTGTATGTGTGTGAATGCAAGAGTGTATGGATGGATGGGTGTAGGGTTGCAGCTGAAAGGGCATCCGCTGCATAAAACTGCTGAAATAGTTGGAGGTTCATTCTTCTGTGGCAACCCCTAATAAATAAGGGACATAGCTGAAGGAAAATGAATGAATATAACTTATCCATACTGAAATTGATGCATTAAATAAGAAAATAATCGCAAGTCGTTTAATAATTGTCCATTATAATGAATTTTAATTAGAATTTTAATGTCGCCTCAGCTTTAAGCTGAAGTCTGTAGAGTCAAAGTTCAGTTTTACAGTGTTTAGAAAAATAAAATGTTGATATTTTCATAGGTTACTGCATAATTTACACCAGTGCATTCAATATTTTAGTGTGCAGGTGTCTAGTATACTAACGGATGCAAAATCAATAGATTTGATAATCATTGTCGTTTCAGCTTCCAGCTAGGCATGACAGATTTTGTTTTGTTAGTTACAG